CCCCCCCCCCCCCCCCCCGCTCGCTTCGGTAAATGCAGCACAGTGGAAAGCCTTGCAAAGTCTCTATTGCACTATTCTTCGACTATTCGTACTATTCGTCGACTATTCTTCGACTATTCGTACTATTCGTCGACTATTCGCGGACTATTCGCACTATTCGTCGACTATTCGCGGACTATTCGTACTATTCGTCGACTATTCGCACTATCCGCACTATTCGCTTCACTATTCTAGTTTTATCAATTGCCATTAACTATTCTCCGATCCGATTTGACGTCATCAAATTTGACGACTATCTACAGATCTTTGCCAAAAAAAGCCCTCAGGAATGAAATCTTCATGCTCATATCAGTGTATACCGAAACTTTCACGATGTTTTAACATTCAGGGCGCGCGAGTTACGGCCTTTTGAAACTTTTGTTTTCACTACTAAATTTCTGATATATTTTAGTATAAATTCAGTATTGAAAAATGGCTTTCAAGCGTTCTGATTGGCTCCCTCAGACTGCTCTGAGCAGTAACTATTGCTTAAAAAAATAAAATATGATAAAGGCATACTATTCCTCTAAAAGCAAATAAAGAAGCAACAATATATGGTGTTAACCTATTTCCGAAGTACAAAAGCACCATTTAGGTACCTAAAACAATTTATTTGGCAATTTAAAACCGGAAATAACTTGAGAATCGGGCGAGAAATCCGACAATTGGATTTGCTTGACTGAAAAGCGGAAAAGTGAAGTAAATTACAGTGTAATATTTACAACGTTTGTATACAGCTATTTCGATTAAGGTTGTCCCCGAGCAAAGCGGAAAAGTCGAATATATGCGCGAAAGGCTGCGGGGAATCGCAAAAAAATTAATGCGCTCATATTCAAATTTTCCGCTTTGCTCGGGGACAACCTTAATTGAAATAGCTCTAAAAACTAGGAGTTACTATCGCAAAAAAAAGTGCTGCCTTTTTGCCATATGAACTGAATGCAAAAATTATAACTTCTAGACAATTATCTAAAGGGAAGTTTACTTTTGACCCAATGACCTCATTTCCACGTTTAATCACTGGTAGCATGGCAGGCCTGCACATGAAGGTAATATCCCCTATATTTCCTGCACAAATTAGTTTCTCGTTTATCATTTAAGACCAATCACGAACTTATTCTTAAATTGTGTGCACGTAACATGAGTAAATAACCAACATGAAAATAAGGCCATTGGGTCAAAAGCGGATAAACAGCATTAAGGACTATTAACCCGTTAGCTGTCTCTGTCTAACGCCAGATAAATTTACACTCTGTAACGCCAGACGATTTTACTAGTCAGTGGTAGAGTACTGTAATTAAATGGTTTAATTAACAAACCTATCTGCCAATGTCTCTTATTAACCCAATAGCTGACGACATAGACGGATTCTGTGTGGAGGGAGAGGTGCAGGGGGTGCTACCCCCCCATATTAGCTATAACCCCCAAAACAAAATGTCCACC